GTGGCAAGGTTGGTAAGTCTTTTAAGTGCAACATCTAATTTTGAAGGAAACATTCTGAGGTGGCACAGGAATGACAATAAAATCAATGAAAAGATGTAACAAAATTCCCTGCAGTGGTGGCTCTGACTACAGTTCTAACTATCCACAGTGATCCTATTCACCACTGTACATTATTTGCCACCAATGTTGAAGACAGGTTTTCCACTGCCACCACAAAAATAATACCTTGCATACTAAAGTGATTATGACATGTCTGCATTTAGGGGGTTAGGGAGAGGGGATGTTCCTGAATATGACCCTGCACTAGCAGAAACCAGTTCAAAACCTTCCTTTGGGCAAAGTTTATGGAAGGAGGAAAGAAAAAGAGATGAGCTGGTTTCCCACCACAGGTGAGTGGATGTTAGTCAGAGCACTGTAATTCTACTATCCTTGAAACTTAATTACCCATGTCATTGTGTACTAGGAGAAATAGGATGGTAGGGCAGATTAAAGCAGAAAAAGGGGATAAATTCTCTGGTGGAGAAGAGAAGGAAAACAGGGAACAAAGCCATAGGGTTAAAAAGACTGAAAGCCAGTGATGGGAAGGCAGCCATCATCTCTTTTCTGCAACTACAGACCACTTTCTCCACACTTATAAGAAATGAACCCAAGTATCTTCCTTTGTCCTTTTTAATATGAGAATCATCCTCCACTTGTACCTGCACTGAGGAAGTAAGAAGCTGGGAAGCGTGGAAGTGGGGGAATCTGTCTTCTGCCTCCCATGTAACACTACAGCAGCACAAATAAATTTCAGTAAAGTTTCAGTGAAGAACAAACTAATCACTTCTTCCATGCAGTGGGGAAAAAAAAAATGTAGAGAAGCATAAAACTACAGTTGGCAAAGAACAGATTGTAGACTGGCATGGCACATTGTGGGGACAGAATCTCTGTTCAGGAAGGGCAAGAGTTAGACTGAACCAGGAGCACCACCATCTTCTGCTCTGAGAGGCTCAACTGATCTTTTACAAACACGGCACATATATCAAAGATGAGAGAGGCAGCCCTAAGCTAGAACTGACAGGCATTTTCTATGACTCTCAGAACAGCAGCAGAGAGTAATCCCATCTGTGGTATTAATGGGAAAGCTACTGCTACCTCTTGCTGTCCCATTTCCTGTTGCAACAGTACTACTAATCACAGCACTGAGGTGAAACTGCCTGGGTCTTCTAGACAGTACTATCTACAGATGACCAAAAGGCTTGGGAAAAAAAATGACCTCATGAGAAGTTTTAACACAATTGAATTTTACATCATCCACTCTGTCCCTGCAGGTTCTCTGTCTCTGGCCAACTCACTGCCAGCTCTGAAACAAATTCCACTCACCCTCTCCAGTCCCTTTGTCACTGGTACCCTTCACAGCCTCTACTCAATCTCCAAGTTCCCTGATATCTTCCTCTTGATCTTGAGCTTCTGGAACCATTCTGTGCGCGTGTTTTGTCAATAACAAAAAGTATACTGTTCACAAAGTTCACAAATCACCTTCCACCCAGCTTTACAGGGAAATTTTACCTACTGCTTTAATCCAACCCTCTCCCTTCAGTAAAACCCCAACACCACCATCATCCCCACCCCCATTAAGGCAACAAGAGCTGCCCTTATTGGTTCACCTAAATTCTAAGGTGAAACACATCCACATTATCTGTCTGTGCTCAGAAACATGCTGGAATTATGTTCAGACCTGCAAACTTAGCTTACAGGATTGAGATGGACAGGGAGGTCTACCACTTGATTGCTACAAGTTTTAGCCTGAAGCTAAAGCATTATATTTGCATTACATATGCCTCAAGAGTACATAAGTAGCAATGCATTTTATTTCACTTTTTGCCTTAAGCTAAGTGAACTGAATCCCAAAGCAGTGAAACAGTACCCACTTAATACAAGAATGTATTGTCCTTATCTGACGAAATACTCCCATAGTCTTTCTGTAAGTGAAAGTAGACAGAGGAACCCCTACTGTGTTCTCTTCAATAAGTAAGAACAACTTGATTGGCAGAAAACATCCTTAAATTACTTTTTCATTTCTATTTAAGAGATTTTTATCTAGGCTTTTCCCATAGCAAGTCTTTGCTAAGCACTGTTAAGTGCTCTGAATGACATTTATAAAGCAAGGCTGGCTGGGAGACAAGAACCCAATTCTGTGACAAAGTGAAGCACTCGGACATTTGTCTTTTTTCTACATTAGAAAGGAAGAAATCCCTTTCAGAGCATAAATAAAAAGCAGCACAGCATTTATTCAGGAGAATTGAGCTCAAGTCCTGGTTCCAAATCAAGTCAACTTCAACGTTAGCATCCCATATGGATGGCAAATGCTCTAGATATTGAGCAACTAGGTACTCAGAATTCTCTGAGGGCAAGAAATTCCCCACTTAATCTAACAAATCTTCACTGAAATATGCCACAAGTATATCCTTTTAGAAACTCTTCCAAGAAGCGGACATTGCTCAGAAAGACTCAAAAGAGGCGAGGCACACACAAAACCCTTCCTAAATTCAATCCATCTCCCTTCATCATATTCAAAGACCAGGATAATACTCTGTTCTGAAGATCATCAAATTTGAGCTTTGGAAAGCATGAATCAATTCTGAAGCTAAAAGTGATTCAAGAATAAATCACTGCCCAGCTTGCACCACTGGGTAACTATGATCTGAGCACATAAAGAAACTGCAGTTACATCAAGACTGTAGTCATAGTCTACAGCTGCCCAGTATGACAATCTGAAGTTCATCATTACGGCACACATCCAAAACCAAGCTTTTTTAGATTGGTGAGATTTTAAAAACTTGGTATCTACCTACTACGTAGGTATAGTAACAACAGTGAGAAAAAAAATCACTGCATGTTTCCACCATCACTGCAAAACCTAGATTCCTAGTTGTCCTGGTTTGAGTGAGTGGTGGGGGTCTTTCTGGTAGCATGGGAGGGGATTACAGTTGTGGCCCCTGTGAGAAACTTCTCGAAGCTCCTCCGGCTCCAAGTCAGACCTGCCTTAGCACCAAGGCCGGGACAATTAGCTGCGCCTCTGTGATAACTTATTTAAGAAGGGGAACCTGGGGGAAGTTGCGAGAAGTTGCAAGCACATCTGTGCGAACATCAAGGTGAGTGGGAGAAGGGGAAGGAAGGGGAAGAGGTGCGCTGGAGCAGACACTCCCCTGTATCCTGCGGTGAGACAGCAGGGCCGCCCCCTGCCACCCATGGAGGTGTGTGGGGGAGCAGACACCGGTTTGCGGCCTGTGGGGGGCCCCACACCGAGCAAGTGCCTGCACCCTAAGAAGGCCGGGACCCTGTGGGAAGAAGCTCCCACCGTTGCAGTTCTGCACTGGGAGGATTGCAGCATGCGGGGGCGACCCACACGCCCGTGGGAGCGACTCATGCGGGAGCTGTCTGTGGAGGGCTGTCTCCTGGGAGAGGGCGACTGCGCTGGAACAGGGGAGGAACGCCAGAAGCTCCCCCCACCCCGAGGTGGAAGAAGTGGCAGGCCTGAGCGCACCCCCACTCCCTGCCCCCCGCGCCGCTGCAGAGGGGGAGGTAGAGCTATCAGGAGCAAAGCTGAGCCCAGGAAGAAGGGAGGGGTGCGGGGAAGGTGTTCTCAGGATGTGGTAATGCTTCTCACGGTCCTGCTCTGTCTGTTACGTGCTGTTGATGTTAGTGCCTCTATTAAATTTTATGTTCTTTTTCTCCTGTACCTTAAAGGAGGTAGTGATCCCTCCTTGTCCTTATCTCAAGTTCCTGAGGCTCTTGCTTCCCTCCTTCTCAGCACTGGAGGGGAAGAGCAGTGTGAGCAGTGTCTTTGCTTATTTTCCCCTTCTCAGTGCTGAGGGGAAGGGTGGAATGAACGGCTGTCATACTCAATTGCCCTCTGAGCTCAAACCATGACACTAGTCCTCAAGGGGAACAGAATACAACCTTTCTTCTACCTCCTTACTTCTTAATCATCTTTTACATACATTTATTACTGTAACAGCTGCAGACTTCACTTGTCCTACTAAAACACCTGTTCTAATAGCCTTTATATTTTACCAAGTTCATGCAGTTCTCACTGTAGTAAAATAACATAATCAAATAAAAAAACCCAGGCAGAATAACAAACAATCTGGAAACACCTACAAAATTAGGAATACAAGGAAAAGTAGCAAACTTAAAGCAGCACCCAATGGTTAGCAAGGAATCAAGTGGCCTTCAGGGAGCTGCCAATATTTGCAATTCATGGTGTTTTCTAGAATCTTAGAATATTTAGGTATCTGAATTCCCAAGAGACACTGGCACATGGACTAGGCATATTTATCATAACTTTGTAAGTTCATCTCCTTCACAGAATCACAGAACAGATGATGTTGGAAGGAACCTCTGGAGGTCACCTTATCCAACCCCCTGCTCAAGCAGGGCCACCTAGAGCCAAGTGGCTTTTGCGCATCTATATACTTGTATTCAAGCATAGACAGTATTTCTTACTTCCCTCCGTTCTTTTTCTTTAAATACCATTACTTACAATTTGATCATGATGGAAAAGTTGCACTGATGGAAGCAATTAAGGACACATGGGCTGTCTAAAATATAAACAGTTTCCAATATATTGAAATAACAGAAGTTAAAGCAACTGCTTGCTATCTTTGATTTCAGGCAATTGCAATAGGTCCTTCTTTCTGAATACAGAAGGCAGACAGAGGACCAACTTTTCTGTAGAAATTTCCAGCCACAACTGACTTTTTCCCTCCCATCACATACAACTGATACAACTGCAAATTCAACCTATCTCCCAAGTGGAAGAACTCCAAAAGTGGGAATTTTTTGTTGGCATCAAGAATAGCAATCTCATCCTCTTCAGTGAATGAACATTTCTCTCCTATAAAAGCCAGCTTTTTTTTTAAAGCAGTGTATTCACATCCTTACCTATATGCTTTAACTGATTCCTCCACCAAAAACCAAGATTACTACAAATGAAATGAAGCCGCTTCCGTGTAGAAAAAAAGTTATATTTACAGTTTTATTTAGCAGATTTAAAGAGCAAACAATTTAACACTGTTGTTAAAAAGTGTTTTTAACCAAAGTTGCCAATATCTAATAAGTTACTGAACAGTAATACTGGGTGTAAGGCAATAATCCTGACCAGTCATTAGAGATCAACCTATCCCCAAAGAGCAGAGCTGATAAAGGTGGTAGGAAATTTAGACTGATTGACTCAATTTCCAAAAATTACACAGATGATGAAAATAGGGTTCCACTCTTGAGTATATCTTTAACATCTGCGAATGAAGGAATTTCTAAAGCACGCAAAATGTAAAGACAATTCCTGTTTCCAATGGAACATTCAGTGCTTTGAATCCAAGAATGGTATGTCCATACACAGTGGTCAGTACATGACTATGGCAACACACAGATGATAAAAGATTAAAAATTTGATTAGAACTTTTTCCATTCCATGTCATCAGGAGGATTTACTTCTACCTTCCTTTTACCAACATCAGACCAGTTGGTGCTCAGAACTGTGCCTCCAGACTCCATCTGCAATATGAGAGAAAGGTTGTTTAGTTTGCTAGAAGAATTTTAGTCATATAAAAGTCACATTTTCTACAGCAGATTAACAAATTCTAAAGAAATGTGAAGAATTTGAGATTCATGTAGTAGCAATTACACAGGAATTCTCTGGACAAAGCCATCATTCCATTATTTTCAGCCCCAAAGTACTTTTATCAGTACTAGACACAATGAGATGTTACTTCATTAATGTAGGGAGAGGCACACGAAAGATCTTGCGACATATGGGAAGAACAGGGAGGGGACCAAAGATCTTGCAATGTATGGGAAGAATAGAGGCGCTCGGAAGATCTCGCGATGTATGGAAAGAACAGGGAACTAAAGGTCCCACGATGTACGGAAAGGTGTATATAAAGCAACTGTGCAGTTAATAAATCGAGCAAGTAGCAACCACCACATTGGTGTCTGTGCTTTTGTTCCCACAAAGGCCTTAACCTCCTGCAAGGGTTTGCTGTGATCTGAGCGCCACATGTCTGTGGACTGGCAGGTAGAAAAAGACAGCTAACACCTCTACCTCAACACATTAACAAGAAGCTATTTGAAGGGTTAGTCACATTTTTGCCTATGAGGGCTACAAACAAAAGGAACTAGATACAAACAAGAGGAATTTGATGCTTTCACCCATGGCAAGTCTGCAAGCTCTATATGAGCCCAAACCTGTATTTCCTTTGATAACACTGGTTGAAACAAAGAGACCAGTGACAAAGCACAACCTTGGACTTACAAGAGTCACATTCATTAGTATACAACATTGTTGCTTTCAACAAGATTTGTTATACCAGTATCCCCAAAAGAACCAACATCATTCATTACAGAATCAAGGTTTTGGTATCTAGAGGCTTCCCAATTCATGTGAAGTTTACTAAATTGTGTCAGCATGCAAATGTTACACATTTCTTCAGAGAAAAAGAATTAAGACTACTTACAAATGATTTGTTCATGGCACGTTTCACTTCATCTGTACCATCTGAATAAATTTGCTGGAAGAGTTTATTTAAAGCAGCATCTCCTTCTAACTTCTCATTCTTCTCCTCTTCTTTGATTTCAACTACCAGTTTGTCCCAGTTCCTTGTATAGTGAGAGGATGACGGATATAAGTGCTGGGTATCTGAAAAGAGAAGTGTTAAGTTAACTAAGCATTTTCTCACGACTTTTAAAGCAGCAGAGAACTCATAGACACGTATGTATCTGATGAATCAGACATAACAACGGAATATAAATCTGAAAATGCAAATGGATTCCTCCTCACCAATATAAGCATTGCAGTAACAAAAATAAACTAAGAAATGCTACAGACTACATTCAGCAGCTGCAGAAGTTTACTTTTAAGTAAACAGTTACATAATTTAGCTATCCAACAATAAAATGCTGGACAACAGCAACATAGATAATTAAGTCGAAACAAGGCAGGAGATACTGGCTTACAGTAAGAACAAAAAGAACCAGCAGCCTAGAGCCATAAGAAAAATCTGAGCTAAATTTCAAAAAAATAAATCAGTAAATCAGAAAATTCTAATTCTCTCAAAGACAGATTGTTAATCTGTCTTGAAACACTGCAGAAGTATTACTTTCCAAGAGAGATGGAATACTTAAGTAAATAATAATTATTTAAGCAACAACAGAGGCATGACAATGCCTAGAACTGCAAAACGGTGACCAAAACAGATAGCCAAACAGCTAAGCCCAGAGGAATTAATGACAAGCATGTGTCCTTAGCATCAGACTAATGGAAGTTATGACTAAATTTAATACCTAAGTTTTATAATGCCCTGCAGACTTTTTCTGTCAGTAAATCAAGACTGTTAGGATCTTCATTGTAAATATGAAGCTGTGTTTTTATTAACAATATTTAACACAAAATATATCATTAATAACTGCAAGTAACTTAATACAAATAAACCATTTAACACTTAATAGTTCAGAGAACAAACCTGGTGTAAATTGCTTTAACTTAGGAGAATCTCCCTGGCCCTCCAGCTTCTCCCATCTTACGGCTTCTGGCTTCTTCATTTTTATCTCAACCTACAAAACACAAGACAAAGAACAAATTACTCCAGATGGCAAACAGTTCTGCCAAATAGTTTCAAAGTTGCTGGATCCTGTAGCAGTAAGAAAATAAATACATTTGGTTTTGGAAACAGTGTCTCTAATATGAAGCCTACACTTTAGCAAAATCTACCTACCTTACAAGACGAAGTTATGTGACTTCAAGAAACATGTCAACTAAACTCTTATGTGGCTGCATAGCCCTTTTATGAGACTTTTACCCTTCTGTTTAGTACCACTGAACTCTCACTCTCTTTTGCTTACTATTCACTTGATTCTTTTTGTAAATTATGACAACTCAAAAGTAACAACTAGTCTCCATGTCTCTATACTGCCAGGCACCAAGGTATTATCTTTCAAGCATCCTGTAACTAAACAGCATTTTTGAAGGGCTACAAAATCCAACTTTATCTAGGTTTACCTTTCATCCACCAAAAAGTTTCATCATATTTATTGTGCAGTGCACAAACCAGTGAAACACCCTGTGACTACACAGATCTCCCCACTGGAGAAATTCAGCAGCTCTATTTATTTGGTTCAATGAACAAACACTTCTTTAGAGAAAACTGTCTAGTATCCATTGACAAAACTGGCAATAAAAAACGGATATAGTTGTAGTTATTATGGGAGAAACAAAATTAAGTGAAGTATGTCATGCCCTACTCACAACTACACATAATTCCTTTAGATGACCATATTGAAATGTTTCTATGTAATTAACCTTGTCTTTTGGTTACAGAGTTACAAAGTTGAAAAACAATGTCTGCAAAACAAGGACTGTCACTTCAAATGACAAATTCACTTAAAAAAATGTCACAAAGTTCATATGATGCTATTAATTAACTGAAATCAGTGCTTGCCTAAACTTCATCAGTTCCTTATTTGTGAACGGAGAAGTGAGTTCTTAGTTCTACCTAAAGCCACTATAACCTAGGGATCCCTGCAGACCCACAAACAAAGGCACCACTGTGAAAGCTAACCCTAGAGATCCTAACAGCAAGCTCCTTGCACAGCACCATGTTGATCTGAAAATTGAACTTTATTTAATCCATTCTTCAAATCAGTCACTGGTAAGTAAAAGACTGAGATACCTTATAAAAATAAAGAAACGAGCTCATTTAAGTTTAAAGCTTCCATGTTTGCAATCATGCTGCATTTCAAGAATCAAAATATTCAATTATGATTGCTTCTTTTTCTTTTTTTCCCTGGGGAAGCTACTATTTCCCTAGACAAGTTTAACTACTTATTTTCCGTCACGAACTTTACTGAGAACCACAAAAAGTCTAAGACATGAGGCATGGGATTCTCTTCAAGGCAGGAAAGAGTTTCAGTAATTAAGTCCAACACCCACATGTATTTGACTTCCCACTCCCTATGTCTGTTGGACTTCCAATGTTTTTAAGCAACTTTACAAGTCACAAATTAAGCATCAGAGTATCAGTTTTTAAAACAGTGGAACTCACAACCAAAAATAATAAAATAAAATTAAAATATTGTTTTACTCTAGTTGCTCAACCTACTGTCCCTAAAGAGGGCCTGTATTACAGAGTTTAACATTGCAATCTGTAAGAACACAGAGATTTCTGCTGAAACTATGCAGAAGCACCATTCAGACTGTGCCAATAATTAGTCTAAAGTAAAACAAAAGTCAGCAAAGCTTCCTCCACTGGACTCTTGGAAACTACAACCTTAAAGTTCTGCTTTTAACAACTACACTCATAAACCTAATACTCTGCGATCAGATTAAGGAAGCCAAATATATTTGTGTATCTGCACATAAGACCAACAAGTAGTTCTGTAAGTGTCAGAACTAGCAGGGTTTTTTTTTTTCCAATGCATTTTTATCTCATGAGTCAAATATTTAAGTTAATTAACCACTTACAAAGGCACTAATTAGTTACAAGTGAAACGTGAGTATTAATTTAAACAACTTGTCTCTCCTCTGCTTATTTTCTTATATAACTCTCCCAAACCTGAGAAAACTGTATTATCAATTCAGTTGCACATTTAAGTTGTGGTGTTAGCTTTTAAGATTTTATGCTCTGCTTACTAGTACGTCCCCCCCCATGAAAAAAAAAAAAAAAAAAAAAATATTTGCTTGATACTGAGACTGCTCAACCCCATACCTCTTCAATTCCTCTTCTGTTTGTTTCTTCCTATGTTATCTCTTACCCTTACACTTCAGGCTTTCTATCAGTATCTTCCAGTATCTCAAATATAGACTATTTCATCCACACCAAGAATGACCTCTAATGCAAAATAATACTTGCTGTGAGCTACTAAATATGGACTGTTTTCAGAATACAATCCTCCCCAGAGAACCCTTATAAAGACTTTTGGCTATTCATCAGAGTGCTCTGTCCATACATAAGAAGAAAGAAAGAAAGGAAGATCTTTACTTTTGCTGCTCCAGTAATCCCCCTCTCCTTTTTTTTTTTTATCTGCTAGTTCTTACATCTCCCTCTCTGAAACTGTCCCTAAGCCAGTACTACATGACAAACATCCCAAAGAAAAATGAAATGGTACAAACTAATTCCTAGTATAAGATGCAGATTTCTTAAACCTAAACCATTTCAACCCTGCCAAGCTAGAAGTACAGACAGCTGAAGAACTGAGACAGAATGTATTTATGACATGACTAAACCTCTACCCCATCTACTCCACCCACTTCAACTGAAGTTACTCATTAGGCAAAGTGGCAGGCAGGAGCAAAACTAGGGAAATCATTAGCTTCATACCATTATACAACCACATTTTCCAAAAACATAAAGCTATAAAATTCTGCTTGTGGAGGCGCATATTTCTTCAACTTGAGAGCTTTATTTGATCTAAGGAGAAACAACTCTGACATTCTCAAATCATGCGCACAAACGGCAATAAACACATTTTAATGAATGTTTTAAAGCAGATACTGATAGCTATCACACAGAAAAGTAACATATCAGATATGACTTAAGTGTCCATACTAACACAAGTACTGTTAGCTTTTTCCTCTCCTTTGAAAAAACTTCAGTACTCAGGCAAGAGGAATACATCAACCCTTCACCAACTACTTTGATTTAACATTTATATTTCATAAAACATATGCCTGTGTGCCTCGTGCCAACTTTAGAACAAAAGACAGGAAAATATCATTGCAAATTAAATGCTTTGCATGCCACTTAAGGACAAGCCTAATTCCTCAGCCTCTCCTTGTAGCTCATGCCGTGCAGCCACCTGACTATCTCAGCCCTCCACTAGGACTTGCTCCACTACATTTGTGACTTTCTTGCATTGGGACGCCCAAAACTGGACACAGGACTCCAGATGTATGAAAAGTTCCAATGCAGAAATAATCTACTTTCTGTTGTAATTTTTAAGTTCCTGGTGTTTGAGGTTCAAAGTGAGCAAAGCAAAAAGGAAAAGAAACATGGAATTTTGATTAATTCATGCACTACTTGTTTGAAGTACTATCTTGAGAGAAACCTACCCCTCTGAGAAGAGGGTCAAATGGGGGATTAATCGTTTAGAAGAAACCTCACCCTCAGTGAAAAGGATACAGAGAAGTTTCTACTCACAGAATTTTCTAGTAATTCATTTTTTAAAATCTATCAGAGATTTAGACAAGTTATTTTGCAGGTTAATCCAAGCACTAGCTATCAAAAAAGATGCCACAGAGTTAGCCTGAGGAGCTGTTCTAAACTATTTCATTGGTAGTATAAGAACATGAAAACCCTTTAAGATGACTGGCATAAAACAGCATTTAATCTAGTTTTAAGAAATAATTTCTCCCATTAGCTACAGATAAACACAATGCTAGTTAGCCAACACTAATTTTCCATGTAAAATCTTACTGTTAAAAAGCCCAAACCTCTGATTAACTAGATTTCACTTGAAATTATATTCTGGGACAGACATTGCCAGTTTAAATGAGAAACATCAGAAGGGAAAGAATTTTTATCTTCCTCTCTAAAAGAAGATTCTGGTGTACACTGCCAAGTTACAAGACTTTTTTTTCTAACTTCTACTGTGTTTTATATCTTACAGTCCATGCTAAGGGAAAGTTCGCTTGCCACTGGCAAATTTGTGTCAAGCTCTGATCAGAAGGATGAAGGAAATCAGAACTGGCAAAGCTTAAGAAGTAGTTCAGCCATTAGTTTCAAAATGCATCCAAAAATACCCTTTTAAATTCTGATGTTTTGTTATATCAAACACACAAAAATGAAAATTCAGGGTTTCCAATCAACTACTTCGTTATTTACTGAACTACTGACTGTCTTATCCAAGTTGTTAAGTGTTTAGAGCAGTCATTTCGCAATAATCTCATATATTTTGTTATCTAAGGACAGGACAAAATAGCACTATCTTCTAAAAATGACCTATTCAAACTTATCTCTAAGATCATATGCATATACAGTTTTGTATCTTAGTTATTCAAAGACCTTTTACACATTGCTTATATCCTGAATTCCAAGATCTTCGGTCCATAGCTTTAAACAAAATATACTGAGATGAAAATAAATCTACAGTGTTATCACAAATAAACAATAATTAAGAAAAATATTCTGTAGCAAATATACTGCAACAGAAGGGATGTTGCATACACCTTTCAGTTTCTTTGCCAACTACTATGGAGAACTGAGCGCAAAAAGGTCAAAATTTCCACCTCAGTGATACTGCATAGCAACCACTTGTTAGAATTTTGAATTTTAGAGGAAGAACTGGCAATGCAGATTGTTTAGGTATCCTAAAGCTCTTTGTCACTGCATCTTCAGTGTAAACCTTTGCTATTCCAATAGTTTTTAAATCTACCTTCTCTCAAGGAAGAGAAAAACCCTTATGCATAGTTTTCCTTTATGTACTTATATAAAGCATGGGCACTGACTTACGTGGTTGCTTAAAATATAGTTCTCAGAGTATTAACAAGTTTAAATCTGCCCCACACCCATCTGTGTTCATAAAGAAGAAAAAAAATATCAAACTTATTTTGAGCCAAGTAAATATGCCAATCATTGGGAAGGTTTCTTTATGGTCTAGCCAGGAAATTGCTCCAACTAGCCCTGCTTAAGAGACACAAGGAATTTCAGAAAAGTATTCAACTCAAGTATCTTAAGTATCAGTTTATAATTTACAGAAAACACTCAAGAATATATATGGGAGATATGAATCTGCATGAAAGCCTCACAGAGAAAACAGATACATAAGAGCAGGGAAGTCTGTATTCAAGTGCCTGAAAGCTATTTAATGAAAATATCCAAAATGAGAAAGCATCCTTTAAGGATTGGACTGCAATGGTAAGAACCAGCTTCACTTAAAATAAATATGTTCCTCTGTTTATCTATTTGTGTACCTTTGCCTCTGAATAGAGGCTCTCATGACAGTCCAAGAGTGTGTGAAAGTTTCACTCTTTGCCTTTTCCTTTACATTTAGCAACAGGCAATGGCGTGCTTTTCCAGTAAGCTGCACAGAGTATTTCAGAGTTTGCAAGGCAAAATGTTGGTTTGAGGAAAAGAAACATTCCACTGATGCACACTTGGCATGAAGCTGCTGAGAGTGTGCTTCTACCTCAAACATCTCTATTAAGTAACAAACGTCAATTGTAAAAGAGGCTGAGGATTTCTAACACCTCCCCGTTTGCAGCACAACTTTGATCTCTAATTAAAGGACAGTTCTGGGGTAAAGAAACCCCTTTTTCACCACTTTTTCAAATGTCTCTAAATTGCTACAAGTCATTACTTGCAAAAAGCCCAAGCCACTACAAACCAAAAACTCAGTAATTGTCCCCAGATTATTTGTAGATGCAAGAACAGAGGGGAAGAAAAAGAGGAAGCACTAGCCTGTTTGCTTCAAGTCCATAAACGTATGTGCTAAAAGCACATACTCATCCTCACTCTCTCCCTTCCAGGTCTAAGGAGAAGAAAACCCTGAGCATAACCTAGACCACAATAAAAGACCTAGAGAAACTGCTCACATTAAACAAGTTTCCAACAGAACATGGTAGAATATTCCCTTGGAATTCCAAGTACACTGACTGATAGACTGAACAGAAGACGGAAAGGAAAGCAAGGCTGACTACACAAAGAGAACTGTTTCAGAACATTAGAAAACCTTACACTGTTTATGCATTTCTACTTTCCTGACAGATTTTCTGGACAGCCATAGACCTGCTGGTTTTATGTTGAACATATTTAGTCACTAATTTTAAGGTTTTAGGCCTTTTTCCTTTTTTTGAAGGGAGCACAGTAACATTATGCACACTGAGCTACCAGATAACTGCACACAGGCAACTTGCAAAGAGCAAACTTGGTCCAGCCTTTACATTTTGGCTCCCTCTTCTGGAAAGAAGTAAAAGAGCAAGTAGTACCACTAAAGGGTGCCTTCCTCTTGTTAAATGCTGAATGTAACGTGCAATTTGCAGTGTTTCACCTGACACGTGGACACAAGTGAAGATGACCACTAAAATACACAAAATCCTGCCTATTGTGTACAAAGTCATGCTACATATAAAGACCAGATCAACTTCCATTTGTAAGACACAAACCTCAAATTCATGCAGTGCTTTTTGGAGCTGCTGTTATTTTTTACTTAACCAGATTACTACAGACACCTTTGGCAGATGAGGACATCAACATCAACTGGTCTAGCTATGATCTACCAATTATGATGTTCATGTACAAGAAAAAAATACTATGCATATATAGCAATTTACTCAAGAGAAGGACTCAATACGGTTGTGTTCAGCATTTTCTCACGTGAACATTAAGCTGAGACCTCAGATGAACAGAGTTGTATGCTGAACACCACTGGGTAATTCTAAATAACTCGTGACTAAATGTGAACAGAAACCATAATCAATTCAAAGATGAATTTGAAAGTAGTGATATCTATTAAATAGCAAATAAACTTTTGAATCAAGTAAAAAAAATAGTTCCAAGCACGGCAGTAATACATACAGCCACCATTAAGTCAGTCTGTATCAGCTGTAAGACCGCTGACAATTAGAGAATATACAATACTAGAACACAGAGAGAGATTAAGATTTTATCTCAAAACTGGAGTTGACCCACACATTATGCTGTTTTTGAGTCAGCGTCAAGTGTTTTACCTCTTCTAGCTCACAGCTTGAAGTCAGAATTCTGCAGATTACGAACATTAATTTACTTTTGCTCATACAGAAACCATTCAGACACCTCCAGACATCTATATATGCTACCTCTGTACCATTTGCTAGTTCTGCTCTTCTCTACAGACTTTGTATCTCAGAGCTAGACACAGCAGGGATTTATTGAAAGGTATAATTTCTATTTCATTGCTAGGAAAGAAACAATTCTTAAGGTATCAATTGCATTTTGCACCAGTTAACACTGCCTGAAAGAACCAGTCCCAGAGTCTGTAAATACTGATGCTCTTTGCAGTTATTCTAGAATCTGTAATTCTGCAAATACAATTAAGGATATTTTTTCCTCCTAAAATTGCATCTGTTTTCTTTCACATTTGTCAAGTGATGCTGAATTTCAAGCAGTATTGAGAACTCCCTCTCCAGTTTCTCTAAGTTACCAAAACATGAAGGATTGTTCTACTATCTGTTGTTTCATCTTCTAGCCATTACATTTTAGTTTTATGAAGTTCATGGGAAACACGAACCATCCACTACATAACCTGCCCATACATTCTACGCTGTTTCCTCATATTTTTCCTCATGTAATTGGAAAAGAAAGACCAGATGTGTCGCTGCCCAGTGAAGACTGCATGATGCTAACAGCAATGTGGCTCATACATTCAAAGCAGCAATACAAAGTAAAGCAGTGTGAACACATGCAGTTATTCTTATCTGAAACTATTAATCCACAGGAACAGATCTGTTCCTATCCCATGAAAATGCAATTTCTTTATGAGTGTATAGTAAGAAGCTCAGATAATTGGGAAGACAATGAGATGATGTCTTTCTTTCCAAGTTCTTGCAAAAGGACGTCATGTAAGGGGTAAAGAGTAACTTGTAAAGGGTTTGAAAAGTTCTAAGACAGCTTATTCAAAGTAATAACTGCATATTTTCCATACCACTCGTAAGAGCAAAGTACATACACGAAACATCTAAAAAGAACTCTGAATTTCTAGTCTTCAAACACTAAGGCTGCACCATTCCCTTAAAGCACTTGGTGCTTTTCAAAGTAAAATATTCTAAGCCTTTAAAGAATTCTTTGCATGCTTAAAGTAGACTTGCCTTTAATTTTTTTTTTCTTCAGCCAGACTCCATCTGCTGGTCAGAACCGGAATTAGCTTGGGGCATCGTTTAAATTGTATTCCTTCACTATGCCTTTACAGATATCCCTATACTATTCGTTTCCACAAAAGGAAGAACATGTTGAAGCACTGACTCTACCGTTAGAAATCCTCCCGTGTTCTCTCTTATCCCGATGTGTCTCAAAAATATTCTTTCACAATTATATAGGAACAGTAACATTTGAAAATAAATGCAAAATATTTACAATTCAGACACTGCCTGAACATAACTAAAGTTTTCACACCCCTTCATAAACCTCAGTCTAAACCAGACTCTAGACTGCTAGAGATTATTTCAGATATTAACCCAGGCTAGAGATGGTAGCATAAAAAACAAAGTCACGTTCATTTCAACAGCACTCAGTAGTGTGCAGTGCTTCATAAGAGTTAACAGTAAACTTCAAGACAAATGAAAAGTATAACACAAGCTAGATAGAAACATAAAGGAAACAGGACTCACAGTTACTGCTCTTGACAAGGTGCCCATTCCACTCAAATTTATATAAATACTAATGGATGAGCAGATTTTCTACATACTTTGAGCACTCTGATTATCTCCTACATTTTAAGAGCTCACGTGACTCCATCACATAAACCTGCCCAGCCTCCTTAGTGCAAGGAGCGGAAAAATGAGACCAACTTTTCTATGGCAATCCTCTCATGTCATCTTGAAGTTCCTCTTCCCTGAAATGATGCAAGAGCTATTACAGGTATCTTCCTGAGAAGGGAACAGGTGAAACGAAACATAAGAACACAAAGGAGTTTCTGAAAGCTCTGCAGAACCAGTGCTGAAATACAAGGAAAGAATCAACAACACATGCCTGCTTCAGAGATTCAGGCCTGGCTTCAAGGACAAAGCCTATGTCTGCCTGTGAGTGATACCAAAAATATATGCTATGCCAGACCACAGACAGTTTATTACTTTTCTATACCTGTAACGTAGAAGTAACAAAACGCTGAGACAGAAGCATTCTCTCTCACATCATGTGATTTTCAAGTGTCTCCAAGCAAGTACCATTTCCAAGAACAGCGTGGAATACCCTCTCTTGAAAAGCCAAGAACCTTATGGCTAAACTTTACCAGCAAGAAGTCATGGAAGGTTAAAGAATTATTTCAACACTGAAATCTTCAATGTCTGACTTTTACTTCTTCAGCACACAAAGATAACGATGCTTCACAAGGTAATATTGGCTCCTATACCTTTAGTAGAAAGGTGTTCATACTTTCCTAATAACTGAATTTTAAGAGAAATTTAAGACGACACAGTCTTTCTACAGCAACAAGTAAAAGCATCCTCAACATAACTGTCATTTGCACTTCAATAAGTACCATCATATTACTATTTCTGATATTTGCACAAGTTTAGAAAGGCTCCCACTGGTTGAAAGCCACCTTGAAGGAAGAAAAAGCATTTCTATATAAAAAGCAAGATATTACAACTGTTGCAGAGAGACAACAGAGCAGAAATGTGTTCAACATCAGGTACAGTCAACGAAATAATTTACACTTTAACAAGCTTACCTTTGTTGAAAGCACTTTAAACGTACTTTGCTCTGGCACTACAGAATGAAGAAGAACAAGCTTTAAGTTGTAGTCTTCGCCTGATGGAAGTTTCACTGATGCATTCATCTGTTAACAGTTGAAAACACATCTCTGGTCATCTTTGAGAGCCGTTTTCCATTTCCAAGTAAAGGATTGTCATTTGGCACCAAGATTAAGTGATTAAATTAATGACCCTTCACTAGGGCACTTAATGCACCAGGCGTCAGAATTTCAGATGACGCCATTACATTACTGCATTATTGACCAAGGTGTTTCTAAAGTATACTAGAAAATGAACAAGAGATTTCAATTCTTAGACAGCAAGTACTCAAAAAGCCTATTATCATGTCATCCTGATTTGCATTCTTTGGGGAAAGAATTATATGGCAAATAAAATATCAACACATCAATAATGAAACAGGAAAACAGTCTGCAACTTCCCTTCTAATACATGCAAAAGACATGGCAAGTGTTCACACAATTTTAACAGTCTAAAGCAGACAGTCAAGTACTTGTGGTAGTTTACAAAGTATCAACTTAGTTGAGAAAAAGAACCTACATGTTCAATATTCAGAGCTAAATTAACATCATTGGTACCATATATGGCATTACAATAAAGAGATTACTGCACTTTCTTGAAATATATACTCTGCTGCCATTAACAATTTTACTGATGCCAAAAGCAAGGAAAAAACCACCCAGCAGCATTCATTCATTTTCTATAATTATCCTAAAGCAGTATATTAATCATTCATACCTATTTTTAGAACATCTTGGTCTCTGTCCATTCCCACTTCAGATGCATGCATACTCAAACACCTGGAAGTTCAGATCACTTCCTTCCCCAGCCCTCCAAACACACAGGCAGCTGAAAACCAAATGTTCCCTTTGCAGCAGGCACACCACATACTGCTTGTGTATAAATCTCATGGATCCTGCTGTGGCAACAGATCCCAGTTCACTTGATTGGGCACAAAAGCTCAGACGGAAGACCACCTATACATTCTTTCATGCTACTGCAGCAGATAACGTTCACTGTTTTAATTACTACATCTTGGGCAACCTTGGAATGTATACCAATAACCAATATAAATCACCTCTTTGTCCGAGAACTGCACACTGACATCATCCTTCTGCGCATTCTTGATCATTATAGTCACAATTACTTGAGATTCTGTTTGGTACCAGTCATATCTAAAAAAAAACCAAAACAAACAACAACAACAACAACAAAAAACCTGACTGCACTGCAAAGAGGTATAAAGATTATCAAAAGCTGGAACAGTACATTGTGTAGTTTAACAGGGAAGAAAAGACATAAGAAATTACATTTCTCCCCCTTTCTCTAAAAGAGCAGTTGCAGAATTGACAAGATAAGTAGTTAAAGAACAAAGAATCGTTTTAATCAAGAAGCATATAAAAATTCAGTCGCTTTAACCAATTCATAATATAGTTTGCCTTCTATAAATTAAAGGGCACTTTTAAATTCAGGATCTTAAAAGTATCTCAGAAAAATTACCTATACTAGGCATAATGAAGCACTCTGAATCAAGCTCAGCATAACAATTAGAAACAGAAGCCAGAATGCTTACTCCATTCCCCACTCTCCCAGTGGGGCATAATCTCTTGAAGGTACAATTCAGTCTGAACAAAAGTGATGACAATGAGAAACACTTCACTTAGACTGCCATGTTTTTAAAGTTACCTCAAAAGAACTTCTGCAGTCAAAGAACAGTTATATGCCAATTATTTTAATTCTCACAGTAAAGCTAAAGTCAACTTACTTGATCTTTGGTGGCAGAGGTTGCTGCTGCATATTCCAGTTGAAGCATATTCCATTGGAAAGGTTACATCAATGTAAGTGAAAAATATATCATGAAGTACTTCTCAAAGATATAAATCATTTTTCATACAGATTGCTCCCCTTTTCTTGATTTATGTATGAGCATTAACTTACAGGTGAAGCTCTTCATTGTTCCCCTAGCCATTTATGTCAGATTAAGAATTAAAAAGTTTCTATTTACATTAAATATGTTAGTCTGTAACTTAAAATATGTTGGTCAGACATTTTATAAATAGCCGTAAGCTCAGCTTTAGCTCATTTTATTCCTGCATAAGAAGTATACCTCAAAGACATACAGTGGCTATGCTGCTAATCTAAAGTCATGAAGGAAACCTGATCTCGAGGTATAACTTTTAACACAGAAAAACCTTTTAACTGTAAGATTTATCTTTACATACACCCACCATGTTTTCTGTACACTTCCCTCCTCTACCCTATTCTTAAAATGTAAAAAATGGAAGTAACTATGAAAGAGGGAACAGAACATCCAACACAAACTTCCATTTTTTTGGTCTCAAGAAAAAAAAAGGGTGGGCGGGGGAGGGTGTGTGTCAATTTCAACATTTCTTCTGAAGACTTCCAATGAAAAAAGAAAACTGAAAGCTGAACAAAATACAGCAGAAAAAAATCTGTACAAACCACTTGCAAGCTACTGGAAAAAAAAATTACTTTCTAGCATTCACGAGCAAGTTAGTATTGCCATCATAAGCTGGTACTTTGTAAATTAGGCCACAGACTGTAGGCCAGAAAAGTTTACTCCAATGAGTGCACAGTAATTGCCAGATTAGTGTACCATTCCTAAGAGTTTTCAGGGTTCAAATTTTGCAACCTTGGTCTGAAATAACACATTTGGAAGAAAAGTTAAATCCTTTAGAATCACATGCAATAGAAAAGATTATTTTTAAAGCCTGAAAGAGGTAAGAAGCCACTGAAGCCTGAAAGCACGCACTAGGTTAACAAAGAAATTGAAACAGTGAACATATTAAGGAGAACATCTTACCACTTCTGTCTGTGATGCTGCAAAAAGAAAAAGTTGCACTTTCAGAAAAAGACATATTGAACTTAAAGGCATATATTATTCTAGCTTTCTTCAGTTACTCCAGACATTTTGCATTTATTCCAGTCTCAACAGTAGAAAAGTTAAAAACATGTCAGTTCTACCTCTAATATTTTGCTTTTATGACACTCTACTTTTTGATTAGACTTCAGTCGGCAACTTATGCAAAGGAACAACTGTAATATAAAGCATGTTCTGATTAACAGAAGGAATAAACTTTCCATTAGTTTCCCTTGTTTATCAGAAACCTATACAGACTTTTTTAATGAAAGCAGTATCATAGCAAACAAAAATTTTAAAAGGCACTTTCCCACAAGTCTGTACTAGGTCTAGCACCCATCCATAGGAATAGCACAAAGTTCTCATCAAAACTGTATCTTGTGCTAGGCAAACCCAGTTGGGGAATGAGATGGAAATTTAGCAGACCAATTCACTCATATCACATTAAATAGACTGTAATATTTGGATTTAAGCTATAGCTCAGTATCTCCTCTTCTAAATATGTTTTTCCCAAAATATTTCAGATAAAACAGGTTTGAAAAGAACCAAATTTTCCCTTTGTTTCTTTATAAAACATACTGCTAAACAAAGATAAAGATTAATAAAAAAGAGTATTAAGTTGTAATGAAGAAATCAGAGTTGTTGCTTCTCTTTTTTTTTCTGGTATATCAGAGAATTAAGAAAATGGTTCAAAAAAAAGAGGAGAGAGATAAATATTCAGGATAAAACAGGACAACTGAGTTGAACCAAACAAAACACTGCAAAAGTAATTGTGACATTAAAGAAAAATATGTATTATAATCTCTCTCCTTGAGAGGGCAGAGAAAGTTGTCACCCAAGAAAAGTCTTTGAAATTAGGTGATTGGCATGCACAGTCTTATTTCTCAAAAAACCCCAACAAAAACAACCTGGCAAAAACACGTAAGTAAGCAGAAATTTGTTCATTCCTATACATCACAGACGATTTCTCCTCTATTTGGTTTTTAGTCAACAGGATGACATGAACTTGTTCTACTGCCTCATTCACCAGTGTGAAGCACAAAGAGGAGGAACAGTCACAACAAGTGGCGGAAAAAATTGTATCAGTTACTCTGTTAGCTCATTAAAATCCACAGGCATTTTAAGCACCGTGAATGAGTTAACCCCCGGGGATGTCAGTCTGTAGGAAGGTATGAATGTAAACTATACTCATTGACTATCACAGATAAAGACGCCAGAGCAGCGATTAGCACTTAAGGCATTCTCCAGGTGGAATCAGGGAGTAAAATCCCTTAATTTCCACCTCTTTCCGACTTTATATTCCCCAAGACTTGGAAACTTATTGTCATGTTGTTTTTAGAAAGCAAGCTGACACATGCTTCTACAGTTCAAATTAGTTAGCACTTGTGTATGAAAACAAAATTAATTAGATTGTCCGAACTTTAAATAGGTACTCCCCTGTCACAGATAATTATTACATCAAAAACCTAATATTAATGTTCATCTAAAGCTGAAGTATAGAAGCATTCTGGATGTATACTCTGAGAGAAACAAACAGGAAAAAGTGACTTTTTTCCTTTAAAAAAATTATTTTGTTCTAAGTAAGACTTAAACTGTAAATCTTCAAAAAACATGGCACAGCTTCAAAGCACAGGACATATCAAATCCCTTATCAAGTAAATGTTTTTTCTTACCATTTAGTGTTTCTTCACATCTCTTAATCCAAATAGTAAAGGTATCATCTACATCTAGAAGAGATCAAATACAGTAATGTTAAAACTCTTCAAGCACTACATGTACTGCATAAAGAACAAATCCTCACAATTGCCAGCTGGAAGAAATCCATTTCAAACTCACATCAATTTACTAAAAAAGGTATCATTTCCTATGACCTTCTTGTAACCTCTGCGGTTCCAATTAAGCTTTAATTTTTTTGTCCAACTCTATTATTTAACTTTGTTATATTTAATTAACTTCAAATTAATTTGTAGGACAGTAGATTTTGTCTGAACTGACCCAAATACACTATTGCTTTTCAGTCTGCTCAACCCCTGTCTAACTTTTTGGATAGCAAGAAATATAGTTTTACACATTTTTCCTTATTCTTAAAATTACTTTTTCAAACAGTCACACACTTCCTCTCTAGAGAAGTATCAGAAGAGACAGTCTGTTCTGAGGACAACCCAAAGTTGCACAAGTTTTCACAAACACCAAGTATTTTCTCCTGGTGGTTTCACACAAACTTTACAAACACATATACATAGGTGCCAATTCCACACTATGAATCAAAATCACAAAGTTTAGTAAGACCTTGATATTCTAGAAAGCGAGCTCCTCAGAAATTAATTCACCAGAAAATAGTTCAAAAGGTAGCAGTGTAACAGAGTTATCATCTTATTTCAATAAAATTCTCAGAAAAAAATCTCTCACAGTCAGGAAAGTAAAAAAGTGGCAACATTACTGACCAAGGACTAAGAATAGCTGAACTTTTTATCTTTCTACAATACAGAGAGTTCACACTGAGGGAGTTCACGCAACCAACTGTTTAGCAGGAGGCTCAACGAAGCTCAACAAAAGAGTTCCCAGCAGACAGGCATGTAACACCAAATGTCACTCCACTGCAGTTACACAACATATGCACCCAACCCCTTCAAATATAGAATGTACATAAATTTTAAGGTGCACCTTCGGTTTTAAAATTGCTACCCCACTCATCAAGCCATTTCTTCTTCCCTTTTCTTCTGCCATCCTCCCCAGTCATCTTAAAAGTTATCTAAATTTTAAGCTACATAACATTTACGTAATCTCTCATTTGTTGTTAGATAAAAATGCAAATAATAATATGGCTTGTCCTGACTTCAGAATACAATCAGTCACTGACATTGGCTGCTGTATTTTTTTCTATATTCCAGCAAATCCTAGAAAGAAGATACCTATTTTCACATGGAATAAACCAAAATTAACTGTCAGAGGGTTCTGTGGGGGATTGAAAGACTGTGTTCAATGACTAATGTATACTTAAGATATTCAGACAAACTGACTGAAGACTGTCCCCAGAAGTACGTGGGGAAGCGAGGCAAAGGACCCAAGATGCAGCAAGGTAAGTTCTGATTAGATAAGGAAAACTTTACTAAAACAGTGGTCAAACACTGGAGGAGGCTGCCCAAAGAGGCTGTGGAATCCTCAGTTTTGGGGATACTTGGAAATGAACAGTAGAAGGACCTGAGTGAACACAGGCAAATCCAAAGTTAATATTGCTTTTGGCCAGGGTATGGGATTAAATGGGGTCCAGAGCTTCCCTGAAACCTAAATTAATCTATAACTTTAAAATTTAGCACCTGCACCCTAAAAGACTTCCAAGTTCTGCAGACAGAACAAAGTTTATTAATCAGGAATGAAATTAAATGAGGTAGGTTCAGGAGCCTAAGCAAAGAGAAACTGAGTCGTCTCCACTGATCCAGCCTCTGAATTTCAGCAGCATGGTCTATGGTCTATGACAAGATTGCTATGCAATACAAATTTTAAAAGAAAGGTCCAGTGTTGTCTTCATTATCTTCATAGAAGATCCCCCTTACCAACCACTGCCTCTTTCCCTGCATTCCAACTCATTTTATAATCTGAAGAAAAATAATTTTGGTTTTGTGCTGTATAATTGCATTATCCTCCCAAAGAACTTACAAACAACTTCTATTAATAACATTCTAGTTCAGAAAACCTAACTGGCTCTTCACTTACTGAAAATCTACTAGCTCTCAGAACTCAAGCAAAAGTACCTACTAAGACGTTTATTTAAAATGTTGACACATTCCACCTTTACTAAATTGATTAGGTGGTCACAGAAAAAATAAAAAAAAAAAAGAAAAAGAAAATTTTGAGTATAGTTGTCCTAAATCCACATAATGTACTGAAGAGTAACAGATTACACTGCTTTTCAATCTATGGAAATTAATGAATTCCAAAAATCCACATGCATCTAATCTCATGGCTGAGTGAAAAGGAATCTTGCTTCCTAATGTTACTTTATAAAGAAACATTGTACATTCAACAATTCATCATGTCAAGACCTATTTAGATATCCCTGTAGGTGGGTAATGGGAAGCTTGCTGTGGTACCCTGAGCTTGTCAGTCCTACCAGTAATGAGCACAAGTAGGAAGCTCATTGTTGTTAGCATTCCAGATTAAGATTTAAACCAGTCCTGACATCAGCAAGGAACAGAAACATGTACCAGTGTACTTCTGCCCCCTTGCACAGCAAAGAAACCAGCCTTGCCAGCAAAGAATTCCCCACCACAGCAATTCTCTCTGAGGCAGCAACAGTTAAAGTCTTCTCTCTATCACCCGTTTAGCAGTATGTCACAAATTCTCCCTCTGCACTTTGTTCATTTTGCATTAGCTGCATTGAACTGGAAGCTAATTACTTTGCCAAAACATTTATTCTCACAATTGTTTTCACCTGGCATCCATCAATCATTCCACAGAACCACAAAGGCAAATTCTGTTACTGACAAACTCCTACAAATTAGGTAAAATATGGAAGAGAATCAACAACAACAACAAAAAAAATCTGTATTATTAAGAAGGCCTCCAGGAGACTCCTAATCTCACAGCAGGTCATAAAATTTTGTAATGAGATATGAGAAGCACAGCAGAAGCTATCTTCAGATGAAAGTGTAATCAGGAAGGACTGGGAAGCTTCAGAAACACTTGAGTAAGCAGCAAAACAATGGCAAATTAAATTCAAACAGGTAGAAGTTAAGCAATTCAACACAGGCAAACGTGCTGTATTTCAGGGATTCTGAATTAGCCAAGAGGATCCTGGTATTCACTGACTTATCTAAAAGATATCTGCATCTCTGTGTGCTGTTGCACCCTACAACATAACTAGGATGTGAGGTTAAACGGAATGAAAAAAAGTGATGCTCTGGCCTGAGGAGATTTTGGCTATAATCTGTATTTTGAACAACTCCAACTGCCAAACTAGAAAGGTGACAAAATCCATGTACATGAAAAGCCTCAAACTGATAGTGGTTGCTTGGTGTTGGGCAAGAATATGAAAAAATACAGATTAATCATTCAATTAAATTTAGGAGTGATGAGTTTGGACATGTATGAAAACCTACCTATGAATTAAGGAATGCTGCAGAAATCACTGGAAGGAACCACTTCCTTTCACAGGAAGATAGAGAACTTGGCCAGATTGAAAAGACACACCTGCTTTTCCAATGTACAAACTAGTGGAGACTACTCAGTTATCCAAACTATCAAAACACAATATAAGAAATTTCCTGACGTTCTTTCAAACTCCTATTCCAGAGCAGCTAAACTGAAAACTAACAGTTGCTACAATTCCACCACATCCCCTTTCTACCACCACTACTACTGCCCTAACAATGCTTTTCCACTTCACTTCGGCTGGCTTCAGCACTCAGACCTTTCATTGTGACATTTCAACACATTAACCCACAGGGAAAATACTTTAAAAACTGTAGGTTTCTTCAGACTTAAGGCATTGAAAGAGGAGGCTAAGCAAGCACAAGAGTAGGAAGGAGCACGATTGCTTGGTGGCAAGCACAAATTAGCTTATGCTCCCATGAAACACCAATTTTAGATGAGAGGATCAGATGATGTATTTGGGAGAGGCCAAGTAATTATATTCTTGCTAAACCTTCAGGTCCCAGCCACTGTTACAGACAGGACAACATACTAAAAAAATCTGAGACCATGACCAATGCTTATCAGCTGAGTGCACTTTGCTCCGTGTAACCTTTCAAGGTGCTTTTTTCTTACCATTTCCTTCTGCTGTTGGGAAGAGAGGGAATGGAAAGTTGAAGGGGTTTTATTTAAAATGTGGGACAAGAGGGAAGAGAAAGGAGTCACAACCATCTTGCAATTGCTTTGTTGTATGCTTCCCCATGTCTTCTACCAAAGCCTTCGATACTAAACTACTCCTTTCCTGCTTTAGAGTAAAGCTGGGTTTTTAAAAATTGCTAATTCTCCCCAAACTAAAAAGCACTCAAGTCCAGCTGGGAGGCCAACACTTTAAGAAAAAAGATATATAATAAATATGCTTCTGTAATTAAGTGATATGTATTGTGAGGTAAATATCCATTTTGTCAGTTTGAATACCCATCAAGTTGCATGTTCTTTCTAAAGACCATTCTATCAAACAGTTTAGGAAGTAAGACATTCCAGCTATATGCAAGGAGTCAGTTCTGTTCAGAAACTTTTCTATGACTAAATGCCACACCTTTGCCACCATTTATGTGTAAGACCTCCAGGAAGCAGGAAAACACTCCCCATTTTATAAAGAAGAAAAAAAAAAGTAAAAAGCCCCATATAGTACTTGCTAAGAACTTTGATACACATATTTAAGCAGTTTTACACTTTTTGCAGAAACCTTCCTAAAAGCCTGGCATCTGAAGTCAAGCACCTAATTGATAAGCCTTTTGAAAAATAAAAAAATAAAATCCTTGGTCTTCACTTTCAACTAACATAGAAAGTTTTTTTCTCATTAGCAAAGGAGTAATGTGCACACAAGAAATTTTAATACTTACTGTCCAACCTCTGTCCGTCTCTGAAAGACTCTAAAGCAGATGCATAGTTTTTCATATGATATTCACCTAACCTGGCATGAACAAAGAAAAACACAAAGAAACAGCAATCACTTTTCAGCCTAACCCACATTCTGAAGATTGCAACATCCTTAGTTCACACACTATACTTGTTAAAATTAAACATGTAAGAATTTAGATCACTTAGGAGGTGCGTTTTTGAAATGGCTAGGATGTCAAGATAATCACTTCAAACTAAATTGCTTCTCAAAACCACAGCCTTGTTACAGAAGGGTTACAAGCAGTATGGCATTAATTTTTTTCATTTATGGTGTTGCAAAAAGCTTCTACAGAACCATAATCCCAATACTAGTACTGCCCTTTAGATTATCACAATATTCACAAAGTACAATGTATGATACATACCCTTTTCTAAGAAGTGCAACAGCATTATTGGGGTTGAGTTCTAGGGACCTCTTTGCATCTGCAACTGCATCTGTTGGAAGTCAGTTTAGGAACATAATAATGTGTTATTAAAAGTAGCGAACTGTGAGTCTTTCAGTAGTGAAAAATTTTTAAGGTGTACTATGTTAGATTTCTTAGCTCATACACAGATCACACTCTTTGAATTAAGTCTAGCCACAACTGGTACGAATGAACCCTTGATTCGGCTGCAGAGCTCTATATAAGAGCTCATAAGTACCATGACTTTCATTTAGTCAAATCTTCTGCTTAGATCTGAAGTGTGAATCTGTTTGTTTGTTATTACTGGAAAGAAAAAATAGGTGAAATCTTAAGTTACTCAGTTAATCTTTCTCCCAGGCACTATTCAATTATCACATTCCCACCATGACAGGATTCAGTCTTTATAAAAAACATAAGGATAGAAGATGCTTACAACACAAGGCTTAAAACCTGCCTAAGAAGTCTACTTGAAAAAGAAGCTGCCAAGATACTACTAGGCTAAAATCAAATGGAAAGCTGGGACTGTAGAGTACCCAATTCATTGGAAATTCTGCAGAAACAAAACAAAGAAAACTACAAGATTATGCACTAACAGTAAAAGCAGCACACTGTTACAGATAACACTTTCTCTTATTACTATATTTGGCTTTCTGTAAAGAATGTGTTATAATACTTGTAAGAGGATTCTCATTGTTGTCTGAAGATGTTACCAGCATATTTCTGTAGAAGAATATGAGCATAAGCTCGTTGACAATAATATTCAGCATCATCTGGATTCTTTTCCAAAGCTGTTGTCAGTTCCTGTAAAGACACATAAAAAAAACTATGAAATGGCACCTCAGAAGTCCCCATAAAAACTCAGTACCAAACTCTGTCAACTAAGAGACATTTCAGAAGAAAATATCCCAACTAGCATGACTGTTTACCTGTTGCTCAGTTCACATTCACAAAGCTTAAACGTCAGAGCTTCAAGTACAAGGAACCTGACAATTATATCAAATTCAAGGAACCTGTTTCTTACTGAGAAGGAAACAGGACTTTCAAATGCCTTAAACCTGAACCCTAATGCATGATGATCCTCTGTAGTACAAAGACCTTCATACAATCCTCAGTGTATTTGTACACAGGTCTGCTGGATTTAAGGAAGCACTGCAGTATTAGGAATTTGGAAGTCAACATGCAGTATGTCAAAATACTTGTGTGGGGTTAACGTGGTCAAAGCACTGTAACAGGTGACTGAATACCACATTACACGTTATTGAGCATAAGAGATTGTTCTAATTTACATTAAGCACAAAAGCAGGAGAGCAAAAGACTCATGGAGCACAGGGCTCACAGGAAATGTTGTTGCACAATGGAAACAACAATAAAGTAGTCCCTTGTTAGGGCAATCACTGAGTATACAGATTGAAATAATTTTAGTTTGCTTTCTATGAGAAAAGTCTGATTTTTGCACAACAGAATAAAATCACGACTAGATGCACACACCTGGAAATAGCATCTCCAATTCTCTTATTAGTGAGAGAAGTTCTTCTCTTTGCTAGAAGATAGCACAGTCTTCCAAGGCCACTACAGTACCATAACTGTTTGCTAAATTGACTTCCACTCAGAATCTAGCAAGCATGAATATAGCGAAGATACAGGCTTTAAACCTGCATAAATATTAGTACGGCACAGCTGCCAAAACTCTGTCCCACCAAGCCAGAGAAAAAGGAAGAGCACAAGGACTTGCCTTAGTTTTAATTCAGATCAGCATCTTGTTTATTTCACACCACATAAAATGTTTATGTCAACTAGTAGTTAAATGGCCACAACAGCTTCTTTTAGCAGTAGCATGAGTTCTTACCAGTTTAAGATATGCAAATCTATATACAGGTACAGCACATAAATTGAAAACCTTGGTGGTCTCTGAAGAAAGTGGCAGGCAGTAGACAACTGTAACTTGATCTGATCGTACTGATGCCCTTCTAAGATTTAAAGTCATTCAAAAGCAGTCGTTGTTACAGAAATACTCATGGCTATAGGTATTCCACACAGGAGGAACAGGAGGTAACACACTAATACTAAGAGTGGTTCATATTATGCTAAGAGGTGAGGCACAGCTTTTGACCCTCAAAATCCCTCAAAGTGGGGTCTGACTCTGCCCATTATAGGCACTTCACAGAGACACTTCTGTGACAGATCACATCTCACTCCAAATATTATTTCCTGTGATTTACGCCAATGACAGAAGCATCAATTAGAATCAGCAGATGACATATGAATGGATTCTCCTACAGAACTAGCCCTCACCCCAGAAAAGCAAAGAAAACCAAACCCAAGCATTTTCAACAATATGAAACTCATCTCTTTCTTGCGTTTTTATCAGTAAGTCATCACATCTCATTCAGCCACACACAGACTATAAATTACTCCTTTAACACAGTTATTTGAGAAGACAGCCAAGTAATACTCCATTAGCACCAGGAATTCCAGATTATGGACCTCAACAACAGTTACTTAGAACAAGCTTAGACCTTGTCCTCACACTCAAACATGTGTTTTCTACATATTTCGGTTCTAAAGGGCCTTACCATGCAATCAGGTTGCAAATCTATATCTAAATACACTGGGAACTTTCAGGTCCCTCCACACTAATGATAAGAGTTTGTATGAATTAAAGGTGCTTTCGGTCTTCACATAGTAACCTACTTTTTCAATTTAAAATGACAAAAGTAGTCATAAAATAGTTCACAGCTGTATCATTCAGACAGTATTTAAGGATGGATGATGATCTTTCAGTTGTATCAGATCCAAGGGCAGAAAGCCAAAGCATGCTCTCCAGCAGTTAAAGAAACCAAAAGTCCTGCAGACACAACGCAGAAATACTATGACAACTGGACACAAGTCTAGTCATGTGTGGAAGCACTACACAGCACCATTTATATAGTATCATGTCCCATATTAGAAATATTAAGTACATGAGTTAAAAGACCACACCTAAGATCATGCAAACATGTGGTACTACCTGTAGATCCGAACTTCTAAGTCACCAAAATGCTACACTGAACTATGAAACTTACTAGTTCAGAGATGGTATGAAGCCAATCTGCCTACTCAATTCAGTACTTTTGAAAAAGGCTACACAAGTGACACCATTATTACTGTATCAGATAGTAAACAGTGCTTACAGAGTGCGTCACATACTGTTTTGAAGCGGTGATTGTACAAAGAACTGAAACATAAACTAGAAAAATAGAGTAACTACGCAAACACAGAAAAAAAATACATATCCTGACAGTATCCTTTAATATTTCCAAAGACCTATTGGTGTTGAAGGTTTTTTAGATGCTTTGTTAGTGATTTTTTCACCTGCAATGGGAAACTCTATTTTTTAGATCTTAAATTAGTTTCACTATGCCGAATACATTGGGTTATTCCAAAATGCTTTTAAGATGTTACTTAGCTTCTTAAAAAACTTCTACAAACCACAACTTAAACCCCAAAGAACCGTAACATTTAGTTTCACCACTTTCTTTACAGAAAGATAATTCAGTATCACCTTATGCTTCTACCACCTACTCTATTCAAGCAGAACTAACCATTTACATACTCTCCCCTTCCAAGTAAGTTAAATAGAAATACTTCTCCACCCTCCAGTTCTGCCTTCTTGTCAACCCTCTGTTTTAAGTAAAAATAACCTTTGAAAGCACATTATTACATGCTAATGGGAAGAATCAGAATCTTAAGACAGACCAGGTTGGAAGGGACTTCAAAAGACCATCTCTTTCAACCTCTCATTGGAAAAGGAGCCCAGAAGAGATTATCTAGCACCCTGCCCACTTGTGTCATGAAAACCTCCAGTGATGAGGATCTACCACGTCTACGAGGAGGTTGTTCCAGCGAATGACTGGTCTCACCGTAGAAAAATTGGGTTTTATGTTGCGATGAAATGAATATCGGCTTTAGTACCCACAAAATACAGGAAGAGGGAAAAAAAATAGATCAGGGCAGAATAAAAACGAATAAAGACTGAATACATTTCTCCAATACACTTGGCACTTTAACTACAAATCACAACTGATTTAGTTATTTGAACAACCCTCTACCTACACGGAAGAGAAAGTTAGTTGCTTCGGGTTTTTTTCTTCCTTCTTTACAACACAGGTAGCAGAAGTATTTTGACAGAACTGCGCTGAACTCCCTTGCAGCCAGACCTCACACGAGAGGTTTCCAAGGGAAACTGCAAGTCGCCCGCTCGCAGGAAGGGCAACCCCACGACACTTCGGCTGCTCCCCTCGCCCCGGAGAGCGGCACAGCGCACTGCAAGCCCCGGCTCCCTCCAGCACCCCAACACCGGCGGCTCGGCAGTCCGGCACACTTCAAACACCGGAGGGG